ATATATAAACTTCTCGGTATGACCAATTTAAACACCGGAGAACATGGATCAAGTGTGAGTACAAGTGCGGTGTTTAACATTGTCCGAAGCAGGCAGAACATCGGTGTTTTGTTGAGCTAAGCTAACGCTAGCATGTGATTAAGCGATGCTAGAATGTCCTGTTAGCAGCTAGCATTAGCTTAAGGTCTGACATTCCCTGCAGTCTTAAACAAGACGTTTATTCACACATTATCCCCACCGCAAAAAAAGAGGCACTTGTCGTTAGGCTTCTGAATGTGATACACGACAAAAACGTGTTGTGTTTAGTTAAGGGCTGGTTGCTAGCTTTGACTGATATGTCAACAATGACGCGCGCGGGTGGAAGAAGAAGAAGCCTATCGTTACAGGTAGCGATTAAAAAGTCAACGACGCTGCACTTCAGCAAAGCACTGCAGTTACCGTCTCCTCCACCGGTGTCTCCTCTGCGGTCTGGGTTTCTTCGTTATCTCCCGACATTTCTAATTGAGCTCGACCAAGGCACTGCTCAGCAGTAGCGGGGGAAAATCCGCTGTTTTGATTGACTTTCTGTAGCCCCCACACACACACACCACTGCTGCGGATGAGCTATGGGCTCGCTCCCGCCTAATACGTCACACGTGCGGAGACCCGAAGCACGTTCCCGTTCCATCCGTACACGCGCACGCTGAGCTCTGGGATTGCGTAACATGAAACGGATCAGCTGTTCGGACCATGTGCTGCCACAAAATCCTGTTGTTAATCCTCAAACATGAATGCTACCAATGATTACCACAATGCAGCTCTTTTAAAAAATCCCAATATTAGATTTTATTCAATGCATTTTATAGAGCAGGACATTCTAAAATTTCCCGGAGACACAAATGATAGACATGCATACATTTTTTTCCTCCTCACCTTGCTGAGGAAACCTTCCTCTCTCTTCTTTATAATGTTGCTTCAGTTGTAGGTTCACAATCACTTTTAAAATCAGGTTGTGGTGTGGACTTCAAGAGACTAATACACCTTAAATTTGAAATCTTCTCTGTCATTTTGCTGGTGTGCATGAAATCAGGACATATTTTGGTCATCAGATGGCCTCACATTTGACTGGGGGAACAGTGCAATGCAGAGGTGGTCATGATCAGCTCAAAGACTGCAAGGTGATGCAGGCCGCTTGGCTGCACAATCAGTTCAATCTATCCTTTCAGCATTGAGTTTATGAGGAGCTCATGCTGAGACACTGCACTGGTGTTTCACAGTGCATCATGGTTAAACATCAATTTGGTCTGTTTATAAAGAACATGGTTTCTCATTTGCTGCTGACATTGTAGTGTTTAGTTGGCAATATCTTGCAGCTATTAATTACTTCAAAAATTGTAGGAGAATACTTATTTTCACTTGCTGCTTCTGCATTCAGGCCTGGTTTTATTATATTAATGAACAGTATACATAATACAGCCTGGTACATGCCTGACATCTACAAGGACTGGGCTGTATTATAAAATGACTTATCACTGCATGCAGCAGGTTGCATTGTGTATTGCTGTCTTTACATGAGTCGATTCAGTAATATATGTCAAATYAAAGTACTTGTGTTTTGTACTAAAGTGAGTTTGACCTTTCAAATTGATGACATCTATTAAAAAAATGAAAAAACAGCTGTCATTTCCCAAATATCAGTCTCTCAATCGGAAGGAAAAAAACGTATTTGCACCTTTTTAGGTGACTGAAAATAAGGTAATTGTGAAAGTGTCTTGACAGTTTGACACGGAGTTTCTCAACACTGAAGTGCAGCTGAAGTTTAGGAAAACCCAGGGAGAGGGGGTCCAGGGACACACACAAAAAAAGAGCAGACTTTCAAGATTGCTTTAGAAGATAGAGATATATTTTTTCAGATTTGAATATTAATGTCAAAAATACACACTATGATATACAGTTTGCACTACATCTTAGCATGACAGACATCACAAGTAGTAACTGAAATATTAATTTAAATATTAAATAAACAGATGGGAAGTAAACTGAAAGTGAATATGTAAACACTAAACTAACGTTACTCTTTCTATTGCAACACTTCCAATAAAGTGGTTTTGTAACCGTACAAAAGTATTAGAATATGACTATTTTCTGTTTTATTTCCAGTTATAATGAAAAAAATAAAATAAAATAAAATCCACAGTGCACTTCWGATGTCCTGCTGTGATGCTTTTAGGTAAATTCAGGGTGATTGCCTCTCCGACGTCTTCGGTGGTCCGTGGGATGTGTTGCACTAAAGCCTGGCACCCAGTTTCTCTCCCACGTGCACTCCCTCGGCTCCGAGCTGAAGGAACCTCACAGGGTCACGCAGCTCAGGGTTTGAATGCACTTTTAGCTCAATCAGTCTAATATTCAAGAACATTTGGAGCTCTACCAGAAGAAAAAAATGCATTGCTTTGTGTTGATAAGAATTTAGAGTGAATAAATTGATTTATCTGTTTGGATTCATGCCAGCAGAGTAAAACAGCACTAATTTAACGTGTCTCAACTGCCTCTGTGGATGACGAGCACTGGTCTCCACTCTCCTGCCAGACGCTGGAGAGGATTCACAAAACAACGTGAAAAAAAGAAAGAAAATCCTTTTAATTATGGCAACAATATTTTGACCGGCATTACAAACTCTTCCAAAAACTACCTTTGACCCAACCCTCTTGTTCCAAGGTTGTGCACTAAACAGAGAATAAGGTGTATTTCTGATGAGTCTCTCAGGCTCTAAGCTGACCCTCAACGTCAGTTCCAGGACGAAACTTAAGTTTGTGGACACAGGCCTGCAGGCTGCAACCCATAAACTCCATCTCTTTCCAAAATGCAAGCCATGAGCTGATGGGCTGAATAAAAGTCAATCGCTGGCGTTGAGGTGTGACTGAAGTAATGGATGCAACTGGATGGATGAGGGGAGGCGTCGCGCTTCAGCAGCGAGGAGAAAATGGYGGGTCGATGGGAGACTCTGTGGAGGACTGGAGCTCGTAGGCAGCACCGCTGTCCACCTCCATCGACTTCCTGGAGAACAGCAGGCGGATGTCTCTGTGAAGGTAGAGCTTCCCAGACTTCGAGCTCTGGAACCTGRAGGCAACGAGAGAGGGAGACGACAGACAGGAGAGCGTGAAAAAGACGTCTCGGCAGCCGAGTGTTTCCCGCACAGCGACGGCTCTCCCACCTCAGGTGAACGAGGTAACGCAGGGTGCGGCCCGGGCTCTGGGCGAGGGGCTTCCTGCTGCTATGATTGTTTGAGTCGCGGCGAACGGGAACAGAAAAGGTTCTCTGGCGAAGGAAGGTCTGGTGACCAGCTGGCATGGCTCTTAAATCGTACATCACAACAAACATCTTTACCACCGTCTTGTTGGGGTTGAATAAGGTCTGAAAGATCGAAACATAGAAATTTGAAGGGTTTAAACTTMTTTTGTAATCCAATAAGAGCATTTTTTTATATAACACATACAAATTATTAACACAATAAATATAGCAACCAAACAGTGTATTTAAAGTGTATGTAATACAAGACTTTCCAAATTCCAAAATATAAGCAGAGACATGCTCTTGAAGCTTTGTTACAGGATGTACTTCCCATTACAGCCACTAGGAGTCTCTAATTCCTTTAGTGACTTAATCTGATTTTTTATTTTTATTTTTTTCAGTGCCATGAGCACTCTGGAGTGGAAATACTGCATGGACATGAGCATTTAAAAAACATTTCTACTGTTTTGAAAAAAATTCCTAACCACTTGAATGGTTCCTGATGGAGGTACACGGTAGCCCCTTTTTCCCAGGGACTCCAGGTTTATCACACCCTGTGAGAAAACATACGACAATCACGGCATCACAAGCAGGCATACAAAAAGGAGCGCACACATTCACACGCACAAAGGGCAATTTCATCTCTGGGCTCAGCTTTGTGACGTAAAACAAAATAAATAAATAAAGGGTAATTTGGATGATTAAGTGAAATAAAGTGAGCTCACCATATATGGTGAGGGAGCGTTGTCATCAGAGACGCTGTAGAACGACACATCCACAGGTAAGGTGAGGTGACTGGGACAGAAGGATCCGCTGGCTCCCACCTCTGCTGTAAAACCTTCCACTGTGCCTAAAGGCTCCAGGCGATAGTTCAGCACACACTCCTGAGACGTTCAGTGAAACATTTCCTGCTATTAATCTTCAAAGCTATGACAAACTTTTACAGTTTTAGTCATGAAAACGGACAACTTCTGCGTGATGACTGTACAGATTTTCAGCTTTGATGGTGTGATTCAAAACTTGTGAGAGTGAATGGGAGCTGGTGTCCAGTATCATTATACCTCAAAGTTTCCCAGAAGGCTGAGGCTGGCAGGTGGAGCGCTGGCGCTGAACAGCTGCTGTGACTCATCTGTGTACCCTTCTGTCTTCGGACACACCCTGAAGGGTTAAAACCACACATGCTTGATCAACTTGTTCATGACGTAAAAAMCATCATCCCCGGTACGCCTGGCTATACCTGTAACACGACAGGATAAAACCACCTGAGGCTAAATGAACTGTTTGTAAACAAGAAGCATTAATCACCAGAACAAATGGCTTTCTACGTCAGCCGGTCACGCGATCAAACATGTAAACAACATTTCTGATCAGACAACAAAGACGCCGTTTGATGGTTGAAAGTAACTTTCAACCCAGAGTTTTTCGCTCCGCAAACATCTGCTTCATAAAAGAGCAGCGCTGAGCTTCCACCCACAGCTGCTGTGTGTAGGCAGAGGCATGAATCTCTGYGTGTATACAGCCAGCTTAGCTCTGACTGCCATTTCCAGCTGAATGTGTGTGATTCGAGACACAGTACCAGCGAAGCAGAGCTCCATCTGATGACAGTGTGGGGCTCTTTCTCTTCAGAGCTGTTATGGCTTTTCACACAGGAGAAATTCTTCAGGCTAATGCTCAAACCAAGGCAGCCTTTCTGCCAAAAGCCACCATATAAAACCTTCCAATCAGGCCTATAAATGTTTTAAAGGGATCCATGATTAGTTGTAACATCAGACTTTATTTGATAAACATTTATTTTAACTGTAAAATAAAGACTGTAAAATACTGTAGGCTGTTTAGTTTTGTAAATTTTTTTAAAACTATATTTTAACACGGACGGAGCCATTTTATTTACATGCAAAGCATTCTGGGTAAAAGATGACGTGAATAGGTCCTCGATGCGAGGCTACTAGCGAGCTATATCCACCCTGAAGAAGAACCTCAGCTTAGCCTGTTAGCCTTCACGCTAGCGCCGACGCTATATTGCCTTATACAGTATGTATTAGCACGGTGCTAGCGTTACAAACAARCTAAACTGAGGTCCTCCATCCATATTTTCAGTTGCAGGCTGAGACATTTTTGTGTTCCCCTCTCTGTCATGTGGATGGAGGACCTCAGTGACGAGAGGAGAATGTGTAGCGCTGAGCTAATACATAMATATATATGGTGATAGCATCGGGGCTAAYGCTAAAGCTAACAGGCTAAGCTGAGGTTCTTCTTCCATGAAGCAGCTCTGTTGTCCTCCATCCATATTTTCAGTTMCAGGCTGAGTCATTTCTACCTTCTCCTCTCTGTCAACGCTCTCTGGTTTCATTTAAAAGAGCCGATCGTCAGATATTGTCCAAGATTAACCTTCAGGGTGGATATAGCTCGCTAGCACCCTCACACTGAAGAGGACCTATCCACATCATCATTAAACAAGAAGGCTTTGTGTGTAAATAAAATGGCCCCGTCCGTATAATATATTTTTAGACTTTTAGTTTAAAAATGATAAAAACTGAACATCCTACAGTATTTTTAGTCTTTATTTTACAGTTAAAATAGATGTTTATCAAATAAAATCTAATGTTACAACTGATCATGGATCCCTTTAAATAAACTTAATAACACACGTAATGTTAAATAAACTCAAGCAGCCAACACAGGAATTTTAACTGAGACACAAAGAGGCTAAAGAAGTCCCCAAACAGCCTGAGATCGAACCAGTTAATACAAAGTTTAAACATGTTGATCAGATTGTTTTAAACCTTTTATAGACCCAGCAACAAACAGTGTGACCACAAGTTCAATTTGCAGAACAAACTACGTCAGTGTGATTTKCTTTGTGCCTCATCTATTTATTATTGTGAACATAAAAAATGCATAAACACTAAAAACATTTGTGCTAATTATCTTTTCCGCCTTCCTCTCTGCGGTTTAAACCCCACAGCCTTTAGTACAACTGACAGAAACCCATTTTCTTACGCTTGCCAAAACAAAACATGTCCATAATTTTAACCAAACTGATTTTTTTGTTTGCTTCATTACTTCACTTAAAATGAGGCACACCCTGAAGCACGAATCCTCCGGAGAGGCAGACGGTTCAGTTTGCAATTAGGATACAGGACGCTTGGTTCAATTAAATATGTCACATTTTATAATAAAGCACTTTATCTTTTAATTAATATGCGCACCTTTTCAGCCCCCTCCCCTCTAGAGTTTGACAGTAGATTTCACCTCCTGCAAGACTATGGTTACTAAGATTCTCAGTGTAGCAAATGCCCTATGTAATCTAACAAATAAAAGTGTCTGTAAAAAAATAAAAATAAAAAATAACTTGATTTATTCTATATCAACTGTATGGGATCACTGAAGTGCAAACTCTATTAAAAAAGAACCCAGGTGAGAATATGCATACCTTTTCCCAGAAGCCCAAGGCAAACCCTTACAGCCAGTCAGAGAGATGTCCAGGTCAAAATAACCTGTTTGATTTTTCCTCTGAGGAACCTGCAGCAGACACACAGAACATGATTAACACAAGGCAGCTGGGGAAAAACAAAACTCTTTTTTTACACTTATTACACTAACAAATCTTTATGTTTTATCATGAAACTATTTTATACCGTTCAACACAAAACACATTAAATGACTTTGCACACGTAAACATATGTTTATATTTTACAACGTAAGTCATCATGGAAATGTGTGAACTTGTGTGTTGCTTGAGTTCTTGTATTTGAGGTTATATGYGAGTAAAGTGATGAGAAACAGTAAAGTGGAAGGATAAAAAAATCCCTATTATCACTTCACATGACTGATGAGGCACAGATGAGTCACGTGGCTTTCATCTGGCCATTTATGTCAGTTTAATACCTCGAGATTACCACTTAGTAGTCCAGCAGCAATTAAAAAAAAGTCAGCTGCAGATACTTGTCTTTTAATTATAAACAATTACTTTTTGTTTTAGTTGAATGTGTTGAGTGTTATGCTTTTCTTGGCGGTGAGAGTGTTGTTATGACAAATACACAGACACCCACAACGACCACTCTGTGTGCGATGACGAGTGACAGCGTGTTTCTTACAGGGCTGGAGAGCAGCGGCAGGCCCGTGCAGGGGTGGAAGGCCTTGGTCGCTGTGGCGTCTAATGAGTGGCGGTTCTGTTTCTTCCAGCTGTTGCAGGGCCGCAGAGGCGAGGAGGGGCTGTGAGGACGCTGGTGCACACGGATGAAGAGTGATTAGGACAGCTTGGAAGTGAAGAAAAAGCTGCTACAGCTCTAAAATTAGGCTCCAAAACAGCTCGTCATTTTAGTAAAAATATATATATTTTTTCAACTTCTTGCAGATACTTTATTTTCATGACGGCAGGTTAAATATGTGGCTAGCAGCAGTTTGCGTGGAATACAGACTAATCAGTCTACTTAAAGGGATCCATGATTAGTTGTAACAGACTTTATTTGATAAACATACATTTTTAACTGTAAAATAAAGACTAAAAATACTGTAGGCTGTTTAGTAAATTTTAAAAAATATATTTTAACACAGACGGAGCCATTTCATTTACACGCAAAGCATTCTGAATAAAAGATGACGTGGATAGATCATTGGTGTGAGCGAGCTATAGCCACCCTGAAGGTTAATCTTGGACAATATCTGATGATCGACTCTTTTAAATGAAACCAGAGAGCGTTGACAGAGAGGAGAAGGTAGAAATGACTCAGCCTGGAACTGAAAATAAAGATGGAGGTAATGTAGGGTTTCCAACTCAGCCCCTCCGAAATACGGGACAGTTTCTCCAGAGGGGCGGGGCTTAATGACCTAATATGTCAATTATCACCACACAATATTACTTATTTCCCCAACATTTAGGTTGGAATCCCTATACACACGATTTAATCTTGTTTGTGTTATTTCCATGTAACATGATGGATTAAAAAGAAGGATTTAACAAAACATTAAATATTTTTCTTTCTTTACAACTTTTCAACTGCTGATGGCCTCAGTAAATAGGATTAAAAAATGTAAATATAAACATACAGTATATGCTGTTGTGAACAGATTGATACAATAATAAAGACACTTAACTTTGAGTCATGTAGTTTAAATCTAATGATGGATGGATTGACAGGTTTAATTATTGACTATTATTTAACCAGGAAAATCCCAATTATTAAAACTAATTTCTAGTGTTGTAGTACTTGAAACCGGTCTTAGTCTTAAGACCAGTCTCAAGACCACTTTTTGATGGTCTTGGTCTTGTCTCGGACTCGACAGCATTTGTACTCGGTCTTGTCTCGGTCTCAGACATTGAGGACTCGGAATTTTATTTCAAGACCAGTCAAGAACACAACTGTGGAAATATCACTAAATAACCAGATTATTGTATAATTTATTGTTTAACATTCTTGCTTTAATTGGATTTAAAACATACTGATTCAAATCCAAACCTGACTTGTTTTCTATTTATGCATTTTTGTTAGCGGCTGCCACCTGAAGTCAGCCAGATTTAAAAATTCAAGAAAATTTAATAAAATAAAATGAACATATAGCAGACGACTAATTATTATTTCCATCACCCGACTGTTAAAAATTTAAAGTTTTCTGACCATGAAGCACTGTTTTTTTTATACGTAAAATACAGAAACTCGATTTTATAAGCTAAATTTCTAAATTTCAAGTAAACTTTTCAGATGTGGTTATTTTATTCTTGCTAAGATCAGAAAAACAGCAGATGTTATACAAGATTTATAAGATTTACTACATATACAGGTGTACTGAACACTTAATACTAAATTACTGAAATAATTGCTATTTTTATGAATTATAACAGGGAATCAATAAATATCAGAGTGGACTTGGACTCAATCTTGGCATTAAAATACAGTTTAACAACTCAATAACAGATTAAATATCATCACTAAAGTTTAACTTATTGCTAACATTAGCTTATAGATGACTAGCAGCAAGCTAACTTTTCATAGGATAAACAACAGACCTGTGGGTTAATGTAGACTTATTTCTGGTTCTTTGTGAAGAATAAAGTTTGACCAAAAGCTGAATGTTATTATATGTTAATGAGACTGACTTTACCTGATCCAGTAGCTCAGAGAATTCAGCACGTTGTTTACAAAGAAGGCAGCCGTGCGCATGTGTGTGTGTCTCTGCACTTTTGTGTGTCAGAGAGAGAGCCTTGAGAAAGGAAAGGAGGGGGTGAGGGGGTGGTATCGCTGGAGCCAGGCAGCAGCGCTTCTGACTGTGGGAGAGTGAAGCAGGACTGAGCTGAGGAGCACTGACGGCACAGAATTGTTATTTCAGGCTGCTCTCAGAATACGGGAAAACGAGTGTCCCGTACGGAACATTTCAATTAGGCTGAAAAAACGGGACATCCCGGCCAGTATGGGACAGTTGGTAACCCTAGATGGAGGACAACAGAGCTGCTTCATGGAAGAAAAACCTCAGCTTAGCCTGGTCCTTGGCGCTAGCGCCGACGCTATATTGCCTTACATGCATTAGCTCAGCACTAGTGTGACAAACAAGCTAAACTGAGGTCCTCCATCCATATTTTCAGTTACAGGCTGAGTCATTTCTACCTTCTCCTCAGATATTGTCCAAGAGTAACCTTCAGGGTGGATGTAGTTCGCTAGCAGCCTCGCACCAAGGACCTATCCACGTCATCATTTACCCAGAATGCTTTGCGTGTAAATAAAATGGCCCCGTCCGTGTAATATATATTTTTTAAAATTTAGTCTAAAAATGATCAAAACTAAACAGCCTACACGCCAACAGCGTAATGATACAACTAATCGTGGATCCCTTTAAAATGTAATTATTTAAACTTTTTAAAATTTAATAAGTCAAAACCTCCTCTTGTTTGTTTGATGCAGTTATTTCTCACAACAAGAACAAAAAAGACAGTTAAATATATATCTTACGAGGACTGATGGAGTTGGAGCCGTGTCTGGACTGGATGCGCAGGACCCAGACTCTGAGGGTGCTTGGTTCTCATCCTGCGGAACAGAACCCTGAGCTGGCACACAGTTCTGGATCAGCATCTGGGGCTGAGGCTTGCTGTTGTTGTTTCTGTTATAGTTCGCAGCTGGGAGGGCGTCATCGTGATCCCAGCTCGACACTTGGGCGTTCCTTTGTCTGATCTCGTGGACAGGGGAGGCAGAGGGGGCTTCATGGCTGCTGAGTGTCCTGACTCGGAGCTTTTTCTGCGGGGAAGCTCGGAAACGCTGGCCGGTCTGGGTGTCGGACTGGCCGTTGAGGGAGGCTTCTTCAAGTGTAAACTGAGCTCCATTTTGGACTCGGGGAGACTGGCATTCGGCCCTCGGTCCAACTTGGGGCGTGTCTGTGCAAATGGGCATGAGCGAGGCGGCGCTGTGCGTGCCGTCTCTGTGAGGTGCGTGGCCGTTGGCGTAGCCGTTGCTGGCAGTGTGTGATGCTTGTGGAATGTGTGCGGGGTGTGAGTATGTGCGCACYGTGTGTGTGACCGTTGTGCACATGTGCTGCAGAGGGCTGCTGCTCCTGCTGTGCCTGGGGGACAACGAGGAGACGGACAGCCTCTCCTGGATGAGTCTGGTAATGTCTTGCACTGCCTGGGCGATGAGGGAGCTGTCTCTGTCCTTCTCTCGCTCCGTCTCGTCTCCTTTCCRCTCCTCCTCTCTGTTTCCCGTCTCGTTCATTTTCAGCCTCCTGCAGGCCGCGGGTTTAGGGGAGGACGTCTCCCGTTTGACGAAATTAGTTTCAGTCACAGGTGTGTTGAACGGGCCGGTCCACCCACGTCCCACAGACTCATAGGGGGGTGCTTCAGGTTCTTTGGTCTTACCGGCAGCCGTGTTGTCATGGTTGCTGCCCCACATGGCTTTGGGAGGGTTGTCAGAAGCGAACAGTCCGGGAGGGAGCGGCGGTGCTGTTGGGTCACAGAAGTTCAGCCTTTGTGCAATTCTAGCAATGACTTCCTGCCTCTCCTGCAGCAGCGAGCCGATCAAAGGGTTCGTCTCGCTGGCGGCAGGCCGTGGGGAGGGGCAGCGGGGCGACTCCATCATGGAGAAACTCTTGAAAGCTCTCAGGGGCTCGGCGGTGGGAGCCTTAGACTTTTCGGAGTTGTTGGAACCGAGCTCCTCCGCCTGTGAGGGGTCGGTCGAACCATTGAGGGCCGAGTACAACCACTTTCCTGCTTTGCTTGTTGGAAGCGGGGAGGGGGAGTGAGAGCGGGGCGGCGTGGGGGAGTGAGCCGACCTGTGGAACAGCRGTGAGCCCTGGTGTTGTGGCAGGCTGACCTGGGGGAGCTCTCCGTTGTAACACGTGTGGTTTTCAGCGGGCTCCTTCTTAGTGTAGGACAGTGGCACCGCAGTGTGAGGAAGGCTGTTAATGGGGATGTTGCTAATAGGCAGGTTGGGGACGGGTAAACCATTGAGAAGAAGGCTAGACATGGAGCTGGAGCTCTTACTGTACGTGTTAGCGTTGTGGTGAACGGCGTCTTTGCTGGGGTCGGGACTCTTCTTGAGGGTGGGCAGACCACCGTGGCTGTTGAGGTTGGGGCTGAGGCTGGGGGTCTTGCTGTAGATCGGAGGCAGGCCGGTGTGGATGCTACAGGCCAGAGTGGGGTAGGTGGGCTGTCGAGGCAGCGACTGGACATGAACCTGCAGGGCGACGCTGTGGGACACGTTGGGAACTGGGAAAATGTGCTCCGACGGCGGCTGAGAAAACTTCCACACCAAATCCTCATCAGCAGCACTGATCCTATCGAACACAGAGATTTACAAAGGAAGAGGGAGCGGTTACTTTTAATCTTAGAGACGTCAGAAGCATAATTGAATTTTTGAACTAAATGGTACACTAGAGTCAACCCGTTCCTTATAAATTTCAAACAGAAACACAACCTTAGCTGGTTTCTTGCAGATTTAATACTCTGGTGTGACAGCAGCACAGAAATGCCCAACAGTGTCAGTGAGCGTTAATGTCTGACCTGTACAGGATGTTCCTGGGGACGATGCCATGAGAGGCACTGAGCCAGGCGCTGAGCTGGGAGAAGAAGACGTAGGAGCGAACAGCCAATAGCAGGGTTTTCTCCTCAATGAAACGATCACTGCTTCTATTAAAAACACAGATAAAAGGAAATGGAAGTGTGCCAGTATGTCAGGTTAATGAGAAAATGGTCAGGGGATGCGTGATATTTCTCTCTTTTTTCTTCCTCTGTTTGTACATGTGTTTATGAAGAAACTGGGCCAATCTGTCAGGCTAATTAACCCCCCAGTGATGAGGTAACAAAAGGGGGGAAAACAATTTTTTTCTAATATTTGGATTTTTTTTGTTTATTATATAAAAACATTTCTTTGCACTAATTGGGATTTTAACAGTCAAAGATTTGTAGGATGAAAACAAAGTTAATTAAATTTTGTTTTGCCACAATGCCTAAACATATCCAGCTCCACATGCATGTTTTGGTTTGATCACCAACGTTTTAAAGCTACTCTGACACTGTCACAAACAAAAGACACCCCCGTATGTTAGCAGCCTCTCCCAAGAGTAATAAATGGTCTACCACACCACAAAAACTGCTTATGAGCAACTTAAATAACACAACAACGAGCTCAAGGATGTGACTTTGCCTCTAAACTCCCCAGCTCCCAATCCAATCAAATATCCATGTGATGTGAAAGAATAAGCCCCTTCCATGCAGCGCAAACGACCCGAAGGATCTGCAGCTAAAATCCCAGCGGCACACACCTCTAGGTCCTGTCTCCATACAACAACAGAGCTGTTTTAATGGCCAGAGAGGAGGTTTTACAAGATCAGGTGGGCAGCTTTCACAGTGTTGCAGATGAGTGAACTGTTTCTCTAGATTTTGTTATCTAGACACCGTTCACACCACAGTGTGCAAAGACATGGTTTCAAGTGATGGAATAAATCAAAATACTGTATATCACAGTTTCAGTACTTAAGCAATGTTTTTCTTAACTGAGGTCATTGACTTTCTGTTTGCTTTTTATTGGTTTTATTTTTTCAGAGCTACTTTCATATTTTGGCATGAGTAGAAAAATAATTTACGGCTGTAAAGAAGCCATTAAGAATTTAACAAACTGAACCTATTCTAACCATGTTAAGTCTTTATTAAAGTGCCTGTGATGTCAAATTTTTGTAATATATATGACTGCATTTTTAGAAAGAGGACATTGATAAAATATTGCAAAAGAAATGTCATGTTGTTGAGACGAACAGTTGTTGAGATATTTGCCTGTGAAGTAACAGGAAGTGATGTCAAAGGGGAATGTCTGCATGTGAACAGAGCTATGCTACAACAGCCAACAACCCAGACTGTAGAGAATAATCTGATGTTTCTTCAGATTATTTTGAGTCACTATCAGAGAAAGATGAAGAGTCAGAGTTCAAATATTGTTTCAATAAACAAAGACCAGAGAGTTTTCTTTGTTAAAGAGKTCCTCTTTGATGTCACTTCCTGTTTCACTTTGGCTGAGTCAAGTTCCAAAGAAAATGTGCCAGTTATGGGACAAAATTGGTTAAATTGTGTGTATTATTCCAACTTTCTTAAATATAAATTGTTTTCTTTGACTTTTTGTATTTGAAGAATATGCATGTCACAGGCACTTTAAATTCTTTACAAATTTGAGCACGCCACAAACACATGGTACACTATAAATGTTTTGTTTTGACCCTTACAATAGTTTAAAAGTCTATAAATCTAAAATTTTAATGATTTTTGTTAAACATTTTAATTAAAACTTTGTGTTGTTGGTTTTGTTTTTCTACAGTTTTTCTTTGACAAAGATCGCTTGTATTCTTGTTACTGTATAATAAACCAATCAATTTGGTTACCGTGTGGGAGACTATTTATTTATTTACTAGCGGTCAAACCTATTTGCACAAGATGTTCTTTGTCCTTAAAATATGAACATCCCAAACAAGTCAAAAGGTCAAAGTAAGCAAATCAAAATGACAAAAGTGTGCTTTTCACGTGTGTCACATCACGTGTCGTTTAAAACTGACAGAGCTGTGTGTTCGTCTCTTACTGTCTCGGGACCGCCTGTAGGGTCCACCTCTCTAACAGCAACGCATCTTGCTTGATGACCGGGTCACTGATGGGGTCGCTTGGGGGGCACTCGTCACCGTAGCAACAGTCTGGTAACAGCATGACCTCGATCATGATGGGGATGTTGTTCCTCCAGAGCAGGATCACCTCCGAACGGGTTCGCCTTGCTTGCCGACACTGGAAACGTCAACGACATTTTGAACTTTAGGCACGGAGTAAATTAGACTCAACAGAGCTTTACTTTAGGCTGAAGGAATGTTGGTTTTTCATCTGACCTCAAAGTATTCAAGAGTTGATTGTATTTCCAAACAACATAWAAGTACAAATGCAACTTCATGGCTTTACTAGATTGCTTCTTTTGTGTTGATACTTCCTTTCTTCTACCCAAATATTTTTACAACAACAAAGGCTGATCTGACGTTAGCATTTTCCCACCAAAACAGCCTCTAACAAAAAGAGAAAACTCTACCCTCAATTTAAACCTAAAAGGAAAATAAATCTGTGTGTGCGCCTTGTGGTACCTGAGGAAGTTTGTCGCTGCACTCGTGTTTGTGAAGAGGCGGCATGGCTGACTGGGCTGGAGGACAGTGCAGCCCCTCGGTCCTGCCTTTCACAGAATACTCCGGAGTCCGTCCCTCGGTGATCAGCAAGGTCAGGAACACCAGGAACTCCTCGGCGTCATACTCAAAAAACTCCTCCGTTGCATCTGAACAAGCAAAAGAGGCAGCAGGTTAATGGGATCCGGGCAGCMGCAAGGAATAAAACACAACAGATAGAAATTTGCTGATCTGTGACCGATTTCCAAAGAAGACAATAAACAGCAGGCTGTGTTTGAGACACGTTTGTTTGTGTTTGTTTAGGGCTTTGCTCGGCTGGATGTGGTTATTTAACTTTGCTGAGGAGGACTGTTTGGGGAAGGGGTGTGGGGGGTGGCCGTGGATGACACAACTTTTCCAGTTTGGCTGCTTCAAAAAAAAAAGTTAGATCTTTGGTGTCAGCTGGACGGACGGGTTAAGTCACACTGACTGTTCTTCCCTTTAAACAAAATGTACAGAAACAAAAGAAGAACAGATGATGGCATTATTTATCCTCATTAGACAGCAKTTCTAAAAAAAGAACAACCAGATGCACAAGAAAAGTACAGCACAGTAATAAGACTGTACTGCGCCACCCATTCATTTTCTCACTGTAGAACGGGTGTGGCTGGCAGGTCAACTCAGAACTAAAGTGGCTGAATACGACCCGTTTCTTGTTGACTTTGCGAAAAAATTAAGAGGCTCAAATGGTGCTGACGAGGAATAACCAACTAGCCGTCACAAATTCGGCCCAAAACGGACCCACTTGGTCATATTTTAAGGCACACAAAAGATAAATTTACATGAGAGATGAAGATGAGAGACTCGGGCAGACCGGTAAAAGCACATCGTGTGTATTAAAACTGAAACACAGCTCCTTGGTTGAGTATTTTTAGAAAGTTACAGGGCCTGTTTTTTTTTTCTTTCTTCGCTCCTCCAGCAAAAACTCCCAGAATCCCACAAGAAGTCAGGTGACACACACAACAGCACAGGAAAAAAATCACAGCTTTCTCTCTAGACAACGCAGTGATGTACAGAGGCTGGCTGCTTGTAACCTTTGAGAGTCTAAATATTTGATGTGGTCAAGCTAAAGTCAAATCAAATTTAGGTGGAAGCTCCCCCCTGACTCCGACATGTCAGGACCGCATAAGGACAAAGGTGCAGATCCTGGTCCGGCTCCAACAGGGTCCCACTCTGCTGGCTCTGCAGAAGCATGTACGAGTATCGCGCTCAGCCAGCCAGTCACGAACACTCCTCTCAGGGAACTCCTCCTACATGCCTCTGAGCTGCTGCTGCACGTGGGGAGAGACGCAGTCCAATACAAAACATAAGGAAAGACTGGGAGGAGGAGGGGGTTCTGTTAGCCAGCTGTAGCCTAAGAAAAAAAAAACTGCAGGATGAAAGAGACGAGGAGAAAGAGAGAAGCTGTATTCAGGGACAATCTTTTTTTTATGGGCTGCAATCAAAAAGGTTTGAACAAAGGGAGTCAGAAATCAGGAGTGAGGGAGAAAGAGAGCAAGAGAGCAGAGCCAGAGAGAAATATATGACAACGGTCAACATTCAAGGTCACAGTCCATCACCTGTACATGACGGCTGGCTCGCACATGCTGGATATAGTGTGCCCTGACAAGCTTATTTGCAGCTAGAGTTTCACGCTCCCTGTAATAGAAAAAGCTCTTGTTCCAGAGTCTATTAGGATTTGGGCTAAAGGTACTGTGACAGAGGCCGGGGTCAAAGGAGAGGAGGGGAGGGGAGGGTCTGTGCAAGCAGAGARGTGGTATGCTAACCATACCCTCCAGTGAAAAAATACACACAGAGCCCCAGTTCACATGTATACAGGGTGTCAGATTGCTAAGAACTCATGCGTACATACACCACCTTATGGCACACATGCACACCAACAGCACAAAACTAAAGACAACAGTCAAACCAGCAAACACTCACAGAAAATATACCCAGCAACACACACACAAAGGACTGTGGCTTTAGTTAGGAGGCCCAGCCCTGTGTGTGCTGAGATCAGAGTCCTCATCCATTAAGGCATTGTCCCTGAACAGAACATTCCTATGTGGCCTACACACACCCCAACACAGAGCGCTTCAGCAGAGGGTTAAAGAGCACAGAAAGACGGAGATGTGGAAAATATGCACATACGATTTGCTGAAACAATCTGCATGTTTACTTAAAAAATTCTGAAGCCTCAGTTCCACAATCAGCTCATTACTCATTTTTATTTTCCTAAATTAAACTTACTTTCCTCAAATACTTGACTTGAAAATGTTTGACATCAATTTTCCCTTTCTTTCTTAGTTTTTTTTCTGTTCGTGCATGATGTCAACATTTCTTTTTTCCCCCCACAAAGAGTCATTTGGCTCCTATGTCTTTAAACAAGATATTCTGCATGTGATCTTTCTTCCTCATGTCATTACCTAACACATCATTTTAAGATTCTGATGCCTTGTTATTGGATGGGTGATCACCTGCTACTAAGCACAGCTGAAGTCCCGCCTACAGATCAGCCAGTTCAACACAAACACCTCAAGCCTGCAGATCATTATAGAGTCACGTGAGACGGGGAAAAAAAGGCTACCAGGACAGGAGCAGAGAGGTCAGACTCATGAGCCAAACCTGCACTTTTTTATAGTATCCACTCATGTTAATGTGATTCAACATTGCCCAAGAACATTTTAACTATTTAATAACCAGCAACGTTGTTTTTAAAAAGGAGACAGATGGGAAGACAGGAGGAGGTGAGAGAGACACACAAATTCTGATATGATGACCCAATAATCCCAGCTCTGTGGCCACACAATCGCTGCCTGTCGGCCCTCTTTTTAAGGCAAAAGCTGCTGTACGATTACATACATACACACACACACACACACACACACACACACACACACACACA